CCCCTTAGTAATAGGAAAGTCTACTTATTGTGAAACTTCATCCTAACTGAAAAAGGTCAATGGATTGGCCACTGCTCATTTAACTCTGGAGTCACCCTGTAAATGGACTTTCTGATAGAACAAGCACAAGACTGAGTGTTTTCTTTCTTCTCATCTACTCTTCACAACCATCTGGTGAACCTGGAGTGCTTTACTACCAGCAGTGCTGAATTGATTGATAAGGCAAACAATTTATTATACTTTATTTCTGCAAAGTAAAGAAAAACTGCTTTTTATAGGACATATGATTCTTGGTTGCATTCATACATCTATGGCTTACCAATGATGTTAGCCTCTTCTGTGAGATTTAGGTCTTATGTGCTTCAGTCATCACTGTTAAGAGTTAGAGGAGTGGCAGATATGCCTTGCAATTAGATATTTACATCAGAATATATTTTATTTTTGACATCAATGAACAAAGCCATTTGTCTATTTCTACATTTCAGTACTAGAAATTCATCATAGTTATCTGCCAGCTGTTCGTTCACCTCAGTCATGGTTTCTTACAGAAAAATGCTTCCTAACCTCTAGCAAAGTTCTCACGATATTTGTAGTATTCAGGTATCTGAAGAGCTTGCATTTTTAATGAATTCCTGATGTACTTGCTCAAGCAAACAAGGAAATTATAACCATGGAACATTACATTTCAGACATTAATCATAATTACTTAATAATATCAAACACGGAGATTTTATTGCAAACTAAGACTTCTTATTTAACTTCAGAATCAGAATAATTGTCACATTTGCACATATTCTAAATGATATCACATATTTCCAAATGCCTACATCAAACAGTTTAATCATAAAGAAATATTTTGTCAGCTAATTTAATTTAATTGCATGGCATAATCATTCCACCTATTTCTCTAAAAACAGATATTTTAATAAGAGAACTGTAAGGAGTTATAAAAATCTCACTTTCTCAATTGCCAGAAAAGGTCTTTGCTGAAAGTTACCAGAAAATTACAGATTTGGGGGGGGTTCTATAGTTCTTCAATGTATTTGTTATATGCCATTAGTCACCAGGTGAAGCCCTTCACTAATAGCAATACCCTTCAACAATAGCCCCAGAGAATTTAACACTGATTGATGGCAGGTCACCTGGAATTGGTTGGCAGAATTTCCAATTTTCTGTTGGGAAATTGCTTATTTCACCAAGTCTATTCCCATTTTTACAAGTGGACAGCAAGCTGAGATTATACATTATTATGTGTCTAAATATAAAATTGTGATGGATGGTGTCACCCATTTAAAGAGAGTTAAGCATTTAATTTAAGATTTTTTAAAGTTTAAAGAAGTTTAAGATGTATTTTTAATCTTTCTTGGGGATTCATGAGTATATCTATAATGGGAGAAATATTGAGATTGCCTAAAAATTGTCATGTACATGAAGTGGTACTTCCATAAAAATATCCCTTTTGATTCTCAAAGGGTAGTTCCATTAGTTTTTTACAAAAAGTATCTGAAATCTCAGGCTTATCAAAAGACTAAAGGGACAAATAGATTCTTTTCCTAAAGAAGAGCAGTAACACTAAATTTCGTAGAGAACAAAATAAGCAAGCAAAACTCAATGATATTAAAATCAAAAGAACAAGTTTGATATTTACACTTAAGTGTTATTTCTTTGTAAATATATATTAGGTATCAGTTTTTAAGTGTGTACCTGGGGTAATAAAAAAAGGTCTATTTCAATAATATGAATTGCCCAAATTTTTTGCACTTATAATCTCTACTAAATTACCAAATTAAGCATAAAGTAGCTATCTGCTCTATAAGATATTTGAGGTAAAAGGTAACAATGTTAAGTGTGAAATCTAGTCTACATAAATAACTCTGGAGAAACAAAAAAGTAAAATTGTTTAAAAATTCTTAATGCTCAATATGATAGCTGACTCTATCTGAAGATTTTAAATCCCCTTAAGTTAGATTATAGTAGGTCTCTCGTTTCCCTGACCCTGAAAGAGTCTCCAATTGTTGGGAAAAGACAAATAAGAAGAAGCTGCTAACATCTCAGGGTTTGGAGGAATAGAGATGTTATAGGCACCTGCTCAAGTAATTCGATGATCAATGGTATGACAGTGATAGAGTGATACTTTAGATTATTTTGCATAAAAATCACTTGTAAAAACTATTAAAGTTTACAAGAATAATAATGAAATATCATTTATAATCCTTAGAAAAAATTTTATTGAATTCTATCTATTCTGATATATTTGCCGTTAACATATTTGTTTCTTTTTTTATACATATACAAACACACAAGTGAGACAGAAAAAAGGGAGAATGAACAATTGCCTTGTAAACCATTGCTTTTTATAATCTATTAAGAATATCTTTCGATTTTTAATGTGTATATGTATTATGTATGTATATATAACATATATGTAAATATTGGTCATTAATCTACATTTGGCTTTATTGTTTGGGCGATCTATTCACTCAACAAATATTTCCAGAATATCTCTTCATTATTAAATATGTGTCTCATTCCAGAATAGAAATATAAAACCTCTACAGAGGTTTCGGGATTGAGGGATAAAAATAAGAGAAGAGGGGGTATGGTGCCACCAGCAGGTCAATCTGTACCTGTGAGGCGAGTGCATCAGCAGCCTGATGGCACCTTCAAGACTTCCAGATACCCCAAAATTGCTGCTGTGCCTTTGGCCAGACCCCAAAAACTTGGGATAAAGTTTACCAAGAAAGTAAACGGCCAAAAGTTAGGTATGTGGAAGACACACCCACAAACCACCTCCAGCTCAGCTATATAATTGGAGGCATGGCCTCACTGGTTCCTGATCGAACTGCTCAGGGCCATGATCTCCGAGACTCAGAAACAAATCTCGAAACCCAACAGCTTTTGGCAGAAATGCATCCAGCCCCTGCAGTAAGTTACAGGCGCTGGACCACCCCAGGTGGGAATAGGTTTCGTGCCTTGGCCTGTTCCCCCTGGCGACCCGGTGGTCTCAGAATCTGTATTGCAAAACATAATGCCCAAAAGGACAGAGAGAGAGAGAGAGACAGAGACAGAGACAGAGACAGAGAGACAGAGAAACAGAGAGAGAGACAGAGACAGAGACAGAGACAGAGACAGAGACAGAGAGGGAAAGTTTTTGCCGTAGAGACAGGCTGGAGGTGTGGGAAGAGAGAGTGGCAGGAGAGAAACTGACGACATTGGTGGTTGAAAATGTACACTGGTTGAGTGTACTGGTTGGATGTTGGAACACTGTACTACTGAAACCCCATCATGAACAGCTTTGTAACTTTGTATCTCAAGGTAATTCCATTTGAAAAAGGAGAGAAGGAGGGAGGGAGGGAGGGAGGGGGGAAGGGAGGGAGGGAAGGAGGGAAAGAGGGAAGGAGGGAGGAAGGGAGGGAGGGAGGAAGGAAGGAAGGAAGGAAGGAAGGAAGGAAGGAAGGAAGGAAGGAAGGAAGGAAGGAAGGAAGGAAGGATAAAAGAGGCTTTAAAAAGATCACCTCCGTCCCCCAATGCATGGTTCTTTCTTCTTCCTAGAACCCACTTCTTATCCTCCAAAATTCTTACAAGTTGTGGGGATTTGGTTGGCCAATTTCTGGTTCACTTGCCATCAGGCTCACATACTAGAAGGTGGGCTCAGGCTGCCATATCTCTCCTGCTCTTTCATTGTTCGCTACAGTGCCTGCCCCATAACTCAATATGGAAGAGAATAAGAACACAGTTAGAGGGTCAAGGAAATAACTAAGGGGCCGGAGGTTGAAGCTTCCTGGCATCACATGGCATGTCCGACATTTCCAGGTCTAGTTCTAGAAGCCCCAGAGAACTGGAGGATGTGGCCCCAGTGGGCCCTGGCACTGAGGGCTGGGGCAACACTGAATCCTCTGGCTCTAACACTGAACCACCTGGTCCAGGTAATGGACTATCAACAGGAGTGGTATCCAGGTTCCCTGAGCACCACTAGGATTCCAGCCCTCTCCCCTCAACCTTGCAAAAAAAAGTAGAACAAAAGAAGAACACGTGAAAAGACTGATGACAGACACCCCACAATTAGCTAGTCTCCAATCATGGTCAGCAGCGTATAATTTAAGCAACATTCCATAGGAAGAAACATGACAAAGGAAGGTCTTCATGCCTCACCTAGAGTAGTCAGTTTGAGCACATAATATACTAAAGTCAATGACAGGTGATAAGTAAGAAAATGTTCTTAATTCTTCATACAAATCCTACTATAGGAAGATATACAAAACCACCTTCTTGTTTCCTAATAAGAAAATCCATTGTTCTAATCAAGAAAGCTGGGGGCTGGATAGATAGCACAGCAGGAAGGGTGTTTGCCTTGCACGCGGCCAACCCAGGTTCGATTCCCGGCATCCCATATGGTCCCCTGAGCACCGCCAGTAATGATTCCTGAGTGCATGAGCCAGGAGTAGCCCCTGTGCATTGCCAGGTGTGACCCAAAAAAAGCAAAAAAAAAAAAAAAGAAAGAAAGAAAGCTATGTATCCTGCCCAGCTGACAGCACATTTACAATTTATTTATATTTCTTTGGATGTCCTGCAATTCACTTGCTAACTGCAAAGTCCTAAATTCATATTCAGGAGTCTAACTCTAGTAAGAAGTGCAAGTTCTCTCTTTCTTGGATAATTATAGCCAAGTCTCTGGTGCTATGATTAACTATGGGTGTGGTGATTGGTCACATTAGTCACAATTAGAATTGTCTAATTCAGTGTGTTCATTTGAAACCTGTCATTTGAAATTATAAGTTTGTATCTCTTTCCAATAAAAAAAACTAGCCTCATAAGAGCAAACTTCTTGTCAAAACTGTACTCATTTCAACTAGATTAACTCTTCCAATACATGAATATGGACAATTTTTTCATTTCTTAGTGTCCTCTTCTACCTCTTTCAGTATGACTTAGAATTTTCAAAGTCTTTCACCTTCATGTTCTTTATTGATTCCAAGTTAATTTCATTTCTCTTAAGCTCATGTCATATGGGTAATATGCCAAATGCATAACAAGATTTAAGAGAAGCACATAACACACGATTGTGTGAACAACCAATAATCATGCTTATGAACTGGGAAAGAATCCATTATTTGAGGTTTTTTGAATACTTTGGTGAGGGGGTGGATGAGGACACTGCTCAGATGTTACTCCCTGGCTCTGTGGAACCCAGGTCAGAATCATGGAGGAAACGAACTCTACTATTAGTCCAGCCTCATCTATTTTTAATTTTTTAAGAGCTGTTATATATTTTCAAAGCAGATCCATCTTTCCACTTTCTTGTCAATGGTACACAAAGTTCATGTTTCTCCACAAGATTACTCTATTTTTCAAAGTCTCTGAGTGTTAACATATCTTGGAGTTCATTTTCAAAACTTCCTTTTTAATTACCCCTCTCACTTTCCTCTGAACAGTATTACATGACTTATATTCACTGATTGCCTACTTTTGCTCCCTGGAGATTTTGTTTTCAATGAGTAAGTGGCAATCTTCAATCTCTAGGAGCTCACTGACCAGCGTGATACTAATAAATTACTATGTGATATGAAACTGTCATTAGTTTCATATTTATGTAAAAAAATAAAAGCACTACAGCAACATGTATGGCAAAATTTATGTGTCCTAGACATTGTTGGCTAAAATTTCAAAAAGAAGACAGCATTGCTTTTTAATCTAGACTTCTAAAGTCATAAGTTGAAAAGACCATATTTTTAAAAGTGCATTATAAACTGAGAATAATTAATGATAAAATAAGGCAAATAGACTTGAGAGATTGGGACCAGCCCCTAAAAGCATTGAATGTTAAGTAAAATTCTTGTTTATATTTGTATCAATGCTGCACGTACTTCAAAGTTCATTCATAAACGTTTAAAATGAGATGAAGATACAATCTCCCCATCAGAGATTAGTTGTGTTCTATGAAAGTCCAACCCAGACTTCAGTATATCCAGTTTAACACTGTTGTCACACCACTGCGATTCAGTCATCATCTGGGACTGTGACAGAGGCAGAAGGTAGATACCCGAGAGCCAGTCCCACAGTATGATATGCAGTGTTTAAAAAAAAACTAATGAACCATGCTTCCATTAATTTGGTCATGCCATAGAACCATTGTTACCCTTAATTAAGGGTTTCTCTGTAGGGGGCACCATGACAGACACTACTGAGAGAGAGTCCTCATCATCCTTGCAAGACTATTATCAAAGTCACAGAAAACTAATGCATTCAGATTCCAAGGACATCCAAATACAAAGTTCCATCACTTTTAAGCATATGTAAAGGCATATGTCATGCCAATATTTATGTATGTATACGCATCTATATGTCATTTGAGTATGTGTACATATGGGAATAGATTTTTAAATATTTACTGAAAATACATACACATATTTTATAGTTTGTGTGCATTTATATAAATCTAAATGAAGAAGACATTCTTTTAGAGGATAGGTAGGTGTCATTGGTAGATATATATATATATATATATATATAGAATAGATCATGGGCCTTTGGGGAAAAGTATAACTCCTTGCATTTATCAAGAAAGTTCATTCACGGATGTTTTGGAAAAGTTCAATTTTTAAAGATAATCACCTCCTTTCTGCATTTTGCACATAAAGTCCTAACCATTAAGGTAGTGAATCATAGATCACAGTTAGCATAACCCAGATAGAAGAAGAAAGCATTTTTCACAAGAAATAAAAAATATACTACCAATGTAATGTTATTAGGCATCTGATCATTTTTATCAGGAAAAGTACCATACAAAAATCTTTCCATGCTATTTGGATGCGTATGAACTAACCTTATTTTCTCTGTCCCTAAAGCCAACACTTGTGTGATTATTTGATATATATATAATTTTTTATCAAAAGCATTAGTGCATATCAGTGAGAACTTTCAACCACCTTGAAAATGACTTTTAGAATATTTCATTAGCAGACTGTCTTTCAGAGCCTGAGTTGACATTCATGTTTCTTCATACTAGTCTTTCATCCATAAAGCCCTTTGTTCTGCTGAACAGTTTCCAGACAATGTGGGCAGTCAAAAAAAAAAGAAAGAAAAAGAAAGAAAGCACCCATTCCAACATTTGATCAGTTTTATTTAAATCTCATATACTAATAATTTTTTATATCTTTCTAAGAATTTTATTTTTCTTTTTAGAATTAAATTATTCTCCCTACACACCCCAAAACTTCCAAATTTAATAAACTGGAAATGTGATATTTCAGAGGAAATTGGCTCAATTCATGGTTAACTTTTATCTTTTTATCATTTTAAATAAAGCATATTAGAAACTCACTGCTGTGTTCAGTCCAAAGGCTTATTTTTAATTACTGAAGTCTGAATATTTAGTACCCAAATTATTTGGTAAAAAAGCATTCTGAGGTCCAAAGTGATAGTACAACTGGTAGGGCCTTGCCCACAGCCAACCTGGGTTAAATTCCTAATATCCCTTTTGGGTCCCTGAGCACCAGTAGAAATGATCTCTGTGCACAGAGCCAGGAGTAAGCCTTGATCACTGCAGGGGGCCACCCTCACCCCCACAGAAAAGAAAGGGGCTGGAGAGTGTATGGTGCTTTCCTTGCACACAGCCAACCAGGTTCGATCCCCCGCATCCCTTATAGTCCCCTGAGCACTGCCAGGAGTGAGATTCCTGAGTGAAGAGCCAGGAGTAACCCCTGAGCATCGCTAGGTATGGCCCCAAAACTAAAAGAATAAAGGAAGAAAATCCAGCCAATTAGTCTATTAACATTTCATATACAGCAAAAATAAATTATTCAAATGTTATTAATTCAAATAGCCAGATAATTTTCAGTATTTTAATGAAAATGAAAGGCTAGGAAGGCAGAAGAGATTGGAAGGGAGGAAGAGAGGGACTAGAAGTAACATAAGGATAGGAGTGGAAGATGTTGGTAAGGTGCTAGAGCTGTGTACATCAAAGCTATAAACATTAACACTGTTGTGCCTATGTTACCAAAACTATAATTAGTGACAATAATATATAATAAGAATAATTCAAAAGAAAGATCGAAAATTTTTAAATTGCATATTCAAGAGCAACATATTTCAGATTTGTCTATAAATTCTGTGTATTTTGGGGCCACATGACCTAATTATATGCAGTGTGGAAGTCCACTGCTTGGCTTATCTTGCACAGCCACAACTCACATCAGTGGGCCAAGGAGATGGTGCAATGGTTGGAGCACATGTCTTGCATTCACTAAGCCCCAAGTTTTAGCCTGGTCCCTCATACCATCAGGGAAGCCCGGAGCACCTGAGATCAGTTGTCTGGGAATAGTGGTCTGAGCACCTATTGTGTCCACACCCCCAAGCCATATTTGTTGAGTATGGCAATAAAGCCAATTGGCTTGGAATCTTCAACCAATATCCAGTGGGGGTTAGTTGCAGAGAATAAGACAAACACACAAAGAGACAAAGGCACAAAGACTATTCAAGTTTGGGCTCCTCCTCTCCCCCCCACAGCCATGAGCCCCCAGGCTGGTCATTTATTCAATACAATTATCTCTCCTCCACCCTGGTTCCCAACACTGTGAGCCATTATTTAAGTTGACAGAGCCATTAAGGACAGTTAGCAAGCACATCAATATTCAATGGGTACATTAAGAGCAGAGCTGGGATATTTCACATAGCCAGTCAGCAGGCACCATTAAAGTATAAATTCAGGACAATTTCCTAATCCATTTTTGCCTATGTTTCCCTCTAAAAGACCCTACCTTGTTTTATTCTGTCCTTTCCTAGGTATGAGTGCCTGTGATCTATTCTACTCTTTCCTGAGCAAAGATTTGCTGCCCCATTTCATTCTGAAAGACCTAAGCTGTTTTATCTAGAAACTACCCTAACCTTGACAAAACAGTTTAAGGGGCTGATTTCCCACACAGGAGTAAGCCTAAGCATTGCTTGAAATGTCCCTCAAAAAAAAAAAAAAAGAATGACTTATACTGGTCATTCAACACTACTACTATTTATGTGCAAATGTATATCATTTCAGCTGATACACACTGGGAGCATCAAATAAGCCATTCATAAACAAGTAATTTTTTATGTATCTTGGCAGGTGAAAATATATGTTTTGTGAAACATGTACATTTCAAAAGTATAAAAATCTGCTTTGGCTGCCCAACTATGCCTCCTAATCCTACTAGCGTAATTTAAACAACCATTTGAAGAGTTTTATCATATGGATTAAATTTAAACCACAAAACTCAGAGAAATACCAAACTCAACTTGATTTACTATCTTTTATGTATTTTGCTTCTGACTACTGTATAATGGAGCCCAACACGAGGCTAAAAATTATAGATTCCTTTTGTAATAAAAACATTAAGTTTACCTTTTGTTTTAGATCATAGAAATTTCTCAATTCCATTATGTTTCAATTCAAGCTACTTTGCATTCATACTTCATGATATTATGTTTTGTGAATGAAGTAAAAAGTAGAATTTTGGCTTCAAATAGCATTATCTTTTTTAAAAAGGGGGAAAAAACAGGAAATTTTCCCCCAAATTCAACCCTTTTGAAGAAGAAAGTCTTTATATATTTTTCTTCTAAAAAATATTAGTAGCCCCACAACTTGCCCCCCAACGCCATCTTACAGCACACAGCAACAAAGAAGAAAACTGGCTGGAGGGCCCCACAGCTCCTGGAGAATGCTCCAGGCCCTAAACAGAGCTGATATCACTGGGAGATCCCAGATGGGGTAGGTGCTGCCGTCCCACCTTCTCCAGATGGAATCCCGGTGACCATGAGCTTCTACAGGCATGGCTCTGGCATGCGAGTACCAGGACATTTTTTCCGAACTGCAATGGGGCCATCCCAGCAACCAGGCAACCTCTGATTCTGGAAGTCACGCCCACAATTCGCCCCCCAGCACCATCTTACAGCACACGGCAACAAAGAAGAAAACCGGCTGGAGGGCCCCACAGCTCCTGGAGAATGCTCCAGGCCCTAAACAGAGCCGATATCACCGGGAGGTCCCAGATGGGGTAGGTGCTGCCGTCCAGCCTTCTTCAGATGGAATCCCAGTGACCATGAGCTTCTACAAGCATGGCTCTGGCATGCAGG